GTGTGTGTGGGATCCTTCGAGAAATGTACTCGCTCTGAATGTGTTCACAACTTATCAATAACTGGACCGTAATAACCGTACAATAACTTTTATTGTTATTTGTCGTTACTGTCTATTTCAGGAGACCTACTTAAGCTTACCATTCTTTTATTGTGATTCAAAAATGTGTGTCGCAGTGTTGAAGCACTTAGTGTTCCGCGTCACATTAATTCAACTTCAGGGACCGTGATTCCTGTACGAGAGCTTGTTAGACGTTCCAGTCAACTGATGCGCGATGATTCAATTACACTGTACATCGCCCTGAACATCAAAGGTTTTTTTGTACTATTTTAATCCGTTAATATCATTTTTATCAGTGTTGACAATATGATTCCGGCTGGCAACCTGACATCGGCGCGCCCCCCTTATGTGTAGCGGGCCGGCTTTGCCGGGCCGCGCGTACCTTGTTTCTTGTGTTTTAATACTCACTAGGGATGGTCGGCCGATCGACGCAGCCATTTGTAATAAGACCTAGATCACTTGACGTGTTTTCAAATGCTGATCGGGAATCTTCGAAATTTTTTAGAAAGCTTCTCTGAATGAACTTAAGAAGGTTTGTTTGAACGAAGGGACACGGAGTTAAGCGCGGTTGCCAGTTATCTGCATGAACAGCCGCAAAGCGCGTATACTACCAGCGGCAGCATGGTAAAGCAGTAAGAGTCTTGCTTTACAGGTATGCGATGAAGGTTCGAGTTTTAAAACAGACGAGTTTTTCCGGTTTTGTGAGAAATGTCTTGTTTCCTATGAGTCTAGAAAACTCTTTCCAGCCTTGATATAATCGCACTTTACGATCCACTCGGTATCCTGGGTAATTCTACTAAGTTGGGCTTTGCGTTCTACAAGAAATCATTTACGTTCAGACACATAGCGTTGCGTTTGCGCACCGCCTAGTGTCATGTTCGCGTTCAGGAGGCCAAACCACCATTAGGCACAGATTTCTAGCCGAAAAGATTTCGACATATCTTCGAAAAAGTGAGGCAGCAGTTGGTGGACTGATAGTCAGCAATGGTTTTCGGATCAGTCTTTCATCAACTGCTTGTCTTTGGACGGAATTTGCTCGAATATATCAGGAAAAGCGAAGCAGAAGAGAATTGATGCGTCAGAAATGGCAAGATGAGGTTTTATCTAGGAGAATGTATCTGCAGTTGAATGGGAGTGAACGTGAGCTGAGCTGCACCCTATGGATGCTTCACTTTTCGGAGTCAGGTCAAAATGCCTGGTTTCGTTAGAAATATGTACCTATGGAGTAGTCTCACCCGATAATAATATTATAGTTCAGTACCCCGAAAATTGCAAGTGAAATTAATTGTGTTGGCCGTGTGTGCACACAAAAGGACCGTAGAAATCGAAGGTTTTTTTGATTCGTCGTTCGAAGGTCTCGCGATGCTAGATACGTCACCACCTTGAGGTGGTGACGTATTTTAAGTCATCGCATTTCAAAGGCCTTATTGTCGGCAGGAGGTGCGTGTTCTGCTTTCTAGGGGATCGGACGTGTATGATGCCATCACTGATTTTCACTGTATCGTAGTGTTGCTGGATTATGTCCGTATTTACGTCGTCTTTTTCTTCCTTTGTTCCGTAGGACTCTATGCCAAACAGGCGTTGCACTAAGTAGTCCATTTCGCCTTGCGCTGATGTTTGTGCATAGACTCTTTTCCAAAGACGAGGCTTGATCATGCTGAAGCGGATAGTGAATATCTTGGCAGTAACGGTCCGATTGTCCCCTTCGACCTCCTCTGAAAGCAGTAGGTGATCCACAAGGGAGATAAAATCGATTAACTGATCACAAGAAGAGAAGGACGGTAATCCACCGGTGGACGGCGTCGTGTCAGAATGCCGGAACGGGATCTTGAGATTTCGTTATCTCGGCGATGCGCGCGTCTTACTGTAGCTTATTGCCGAGATCTCTTCTGATTTCGCTGATCTAATCCTCCTTTAATCAGCTGATTAGTAGACAAAGGTAATTACTTTGTCGGTACTATTTGCAGTAGAGTTTCAGTCTACATGTGGTGGTCCAAATGAAGTAAAGGAGGAGATATGAGCAGCTTGCTCACTGTGATATTGGAACTAATTGTTGTTAGTTCATTAGGTATTCAATGAGAGACGTATGAGGTTGGACTGTTGGTTGGCCATTCTTCTTGTTGTTTTTTTGTCCACTGTTTTTTTTCAGCTTGAATTTTTTTCCTTCGTAGTTATTTCCAGAGGAATCAGCTGAATGACGGATCTATCTGAAATTTTATTATTCCCTGTTTGGACTTCAATCGCATTGATCCGTCAATTCTGTCTATCGTATTGATCCGTCGTCCTCAGGTAGCTCGTTCACCAGTACTTCTTTACCTAGCTTTAATGTGGGCGCCTTGTCGCTGACTAGATTTGACTTCCTCTATGTGCCACGAATTTCCTGAAGGCTAGAACGAGCTGCAGTGCAGAGTTGTCGGCTACGATTCCGAGGTATAGGGCCCGAGCTGCCATGCACCCAGAGAGGCACGTCCAGAACTTTTTATCTTGTCCCATTTCTGGACGCACTGTGAGTGGAGCGAAATAGTCTAGACCCGTGTTTTGGAACGGTCTGCTCTGAACTACTTTATGCGTAGGCTGATCTGGTCTTCGTGGCTATCCGAACAGTTTCCTCCGACATTCTCTACAGGTTAAACATCATCTGATTCACTATTCTGCGGATTCTAGGAATGAGGTATCGATTCTTGGGGTCCGTTATCAAGTGAGATGCCCCGGCATGGAATAATTTTTAGCGTGTATCCTGTGCTGTCATTCTTGTAAACCGATGTTTTGACATTCTTCGCAGTCTCGGCGATTTCTGCATTGCCACTTTTAGGACTCCGCGGCAGATTCTGTGAGGGTCTTGTGATACTTTCAGACGTTGTACTACACGACTACAAAGTTGAAGAGCTCCTCCGCGATGATGCACCCGAACTAGTAGGATTTTTATAGCTTCCATGCCATCTGTAGGATCGACTGATTAGAAGAGACGAGGTTGATGATCCCGTAAATAGGTTCGTGTGCTGACGGGCCAAATTTGCTTTTGTGCCGTAAGCAGGCGATGTACTTCAGGACGTATGGAGTAATTCGGAGCTGGAGTTGGTTTCCAGGAAACGTACTACTTGTATCGCCTAAACGGAACCTAGTAATTCTATTCTCGGGATGGAGGTCTTCTTCGAAGCCGCCAGTTTGGCTTTTGCGAATAGTAAATGGCTGAAGGGTTCTCTCTTTAGTGTTCGGCATACCTAGTCTGCGACTCCCCGTATGCCCTTGGTGAGGCGTTGAGATTATCACTAGGTCGCATATTGTTCCTTCTGTTACTGTTATGAATCGGTATAAGTTTCCGGTGAATCCTTCAAGATCCTCCGATACTTCTTTATTTCGTAATTATCCCATCGAATGGTTCACCCATGGGTATCTACAGATACCTACAGATCTTGTATAGAGGATTTCTTTGTGAATACTGGTGTTAGTAAGCCCAGCGGATCGAATGCGGAAGCAAATGCTTTCACTGCTGTACGTTTATTGGTAACTTTTTTGGCTAGTAAGGGTCTCCTTGTGTAACCCGTCATAGTCCTAAGAATTTTACTGTATTATTACTACTATGTACTTTATCTTGGAGTGAGATAGACTCGACTACGTCTTCGTTGTTGAACAGAGTCCCGAAGGTTCATGCCCATCGTAGAGAATGTATCCTTGCATTGTGTTCGTTTTCGACTACCTTTCTCGACTGCTTTGGCGCCGATCAAAACATTGCAGACGAAGGTATTCTTGAGCATTCCCTATTGTAGTACATCTTTTACTCTTTTGCTTGTAGTACACCTTCTAGTCTTTTGCTTTCGAGTGCATACTTTATGCATTCAAAAGGAAAAGAGTAAAACATGGAGATCCTTAATGGGCATACCGAGTAGAAATGGTGAAGCATTTACTCCAAATGGGATACGTGTGAATCGTAAGATGCGTATGTTGTTTCTAGTTGGTCCTTTGGTGGTGTCTTTGAGCCAAAGTAATCTCGTTGCATCTCGCCGATCTTCTTGCACTCTAATGTGATGGAATCTTTCCCCACGCTTGCTATTAGTACAGGCTGTTAGACGGGCTCGTAGTAGTGTACCGCGCAATTCTGGTTGTAGGGTCGTGCCTTGGTGTACGCAGTCGTTCAGACGAGGTGCCCATTTCCTGTGATTTGATGCGTCAAAGATGATCCGTAGTTTTACTGTTGTGCTGTCTTCTTTGAACACAGCTCAGTGATGATGTAGTACATCCCTTTTCTCTGGACTATGTCCTCGTTCACCTCTTCGAATATTTCTAATTTGATTTGTTGTTCGAAGATGTTGCAGTGTTCGTCCCTTACCTTAGCATTAAGACCTAATCTATTGTACTGGGTTTTCCAGTCTTCGTATTGCGAGGGCATTGTTGTCGGTAACTCCGGTGTTCCGCTTTCCAGGGAAACCGGAGTATGAGGCCATCCTTAAATTGTAACGTATCGTAGTACTGTTAGATGATACTCTTTTTCACGTCGCCTTTTTCTTGGTTTGCTTCAAAGGACTCTAAGCCGAACAAGCGTTGTACTAACAAGGGAAAGATGGTAGGTCGAAGTGGCCATATGAAGTGATAAGTACACCATATAAAAGTTCTTTGGACGGGAACTACGAATTCTTCATTGTCTGCTGCGGATTTCAAAGAGCAAATTACGGGCCTTTTTAGGGGTGAGCACACTGGCACTCAATACGAATTAGCGACGTGAGGCGAACTCATTTGAGGCAGCGTGGTGGAGTGGATACTTGTAGATCCCAGGAACACATGATTAAAGGTTGGATTCCTTTGGAAAGGCCTTCCTACGACAAGGTTTTTACGTGAAAATTCTGCCGGGGATCATGATGGGTAAAATGTTCATTCATCACTCACATAAAGTTGAAAGGTATCCTACCCAAACTGGTGCTTTCGCACTTGCTGGAAACCTTCAGCTCGTGTGACAAATTTAACAGCCGAGAGTGTACTTCATAGAATCGTCCACAATGGGTCTAATAGTTCACGAACATTCTTTGACGACATTATCAAGCACTGGAATTATGCAAAGATGCTTACGAGTACACAGAGATCACTGTCGAAAGAATGCAAAAGAGCACATTCATCTAGGATTCAAACCTCCACCATGTTTCGTAGGACCTACGAGATATCCACTTGGCCACGCTGCTATGAATGAGGTGCATGCTGTGGACAAGATTTGTCATGGTGTCTTCGTCGATTTCCTCCCATGCAGCAACTGCCGCCTCCTTCAAGTCTCGCACGCTGTTGTACTGCCGACTGTTCATGTAGATTCGTCGAACCATGATCCCCACAGGATTTCGGTTGGGTTGCAGTCAGGAGAACACGCCGGCCAATCAATCACTTTGATACCATTGCGTTGGAGCCATTTTCTAGTAGAATTTGAAACATGCACGGCCGTGTTCTCCTGCTGCATCACATGTGTCCTGCATCGTGGCCCGATACAGGGTCAGACTCAAGCACTCCTTGGTATTCCTGACTGTTCATACAGCACGATGGGAAGGCAAGCTCCAACTTTCCTCTGCTTCCAAAACCACCCCGTACCATCAAAGAGGCGCCTCCGAAATTTCGTCTCGAGAACATCAACGGATCGCTACAAAGGTCTTTCCAGTAATGCTGATATCCATCTGGACCGTCGAGATTGACTTTTTCTTATCAGTGAAGATAACCTAAGAAAGAAATGCGCATAAGATGTTGCCTTTCTGATTTTACAATTATCTCAAGAAGCTGCACCTTGTCCCGTCAGACATGGAGCCGAATAGAGCTCCATATTGTCATTTTTGAGATCAGTAGATTCATCGCGGCATGGATCTGTGCCACAGGAAGCGGGGAGTTTGAGGCCATTCTTCTGATGTCTTTTGCGGACAAAGATCGTGGGTGCCTTGAAACAGGTACTGAGTGGTAGCCATCAGGATTCTGGAGGTATATACCAACGCACGTCGCCGAAAGTCCAAGCTGTCTTGCAATTTCTCTATTCGAGTGTCCTGCAGCACTGAAAGCTCGAATCCGAGCTTGTTCGTCTTCGTAGAGAGGACTACCACGACGAGGCATGAGTACAGGTTAATGGGGACTAGAGACCATAAAAATGGATTGCAGATCTGGAGCCAAACTTTGGACTTCCTCAGGTGTCCACATACTTTTGTTATTAAGAAACTTTTTCAAAACAATAAATAATTGTACAGTAGTTCACAAAGTGCTCAGAAGTAGTGTATTCCTATGTTTTCGCTTATGAGGAATTCAACAATAAAGGTCTCATATCGCAAAATTCAAAGGCAATTTTGCAGGACAAAAATTTGAGGTGTCCACATACTTTTGTTACGCACTGTACGGCGCGAAAGCGGTTGTAGCGGGCGGCACGGCCACCTATATGCAAGTCTTCTCGTAGAAGCAGAAACCTGGTAAAAACTGCGTCAGAAAATGTCTGACGGTCCAGGTCCCACCACAAGTTATACAGTAGACATTCATTGCAAAAAGCAAAATGCAAAAACTTGCTACCCTCGAACTCCGAGCTTTCCACTTGTAAAGCAATACTCCTACCATTATGCCATGCCGTCGCTGATAGTGGCTTCGCTTCGCGTAAATTCATGCACGGTCTGTCTTTCTAATAAACGTTCATAACATTTCATTCTAATAAACATTTATAACTCCGTTTTTTTGCAGCTCTCACACTTTGAACCCAACGGTAAAGTGAGCTTCCATGCGTAATATTGCTTTCATGCGTACTCACTATTCATTTCAGGAGATTTCGCAAATGGTACAGTGTATCTGGATGACGGAGAAACATACGCGTATAAAAATGGTGAATATGCCTATTGGGGAATAATATTCAAGAGGTTAGAGGTTCATGAAAAGCGAGCCAAAAACAGTTTCATGTTTTTCGCTAACCCTTATTCTAGGGAACATGATTATCTGCATACCATCATAAATAAGAATCTGGACAAGGAAGGAATACTGGAGAGCAAAGTCCAAATCGAAAAAATTATCATACGTGGAGCAAAATTCTACCCAAGAACTGCACATATCTACTTGGATGGTGGGTTATTATTTTAAACGTGTATGCGGGTGGCATTACATACTCCTGTGGACCTCTCTCCAAGTTATTTGTTAAGAAATGATGGCAGCAAACCTAGGGAGTAACGAATAGGCGTAAGGATGCTCTAAAGGAAGTTTTAAGGGAAAAAATACTAAGGGCGGTTATCGTCAGAGAAAGCCTGGGAATTTGTATTCGTCAAAAAGGAGCGCACATATTATATGGACCGCTTGCCTTCCTCTTCAACTTGAGTTTTATGAGAGCTGAAGTGCCAACGAGGTGGCGCGTTTCATTCGTAACCCCAATCCCTAAGAAGCCGCCTTATTCCTGTCCGTCTAACTTCAGACCGGTCAGTATAACCTCAATATTCGCCAGATTGTTTGAGAAAGTTCTTAAAAAGAGACTCATGGCACATTTGGAGCAGTATGAAATAATTTCCGAAAACCAGCACGGCTTCCAGAAGGGGAAATCAACGGTAACGGGCATGCTCCAGGCTCTGAATGATTGGACAATGTATCTTGATAATGACATTGGAGTGGACGTGATTTATTTGGACTTCGCGAAGGCGTTTGACAGAGTGTCTCACCATAAACTCATAACTAAACTCAAAATAGTTGGAGTTCATCCCAGAATTGTTAAGTGGATAGAATCTTTTCTTACTGATAGAGTGTATCTTGTGCGCGTTAATGCGGAGTTTTCAGAACCTAGGCCAGTGCTCAGTGGCGTGCCGCAAGGGGGCGTTCTGTCTCCACTTCTTTTCAATATATTTACATTTGAATTACCTCGTCTCATAGTCTCTAGAGGAGTCAAGTGCGTTGCTTCCGCTGATGACCTCAAAATATATCACCCTATCTCATCAGACTCGGACAAAGTGCTGTTGCAAGCGGTCATCAATGAGGTTAGCATTTGGGCCAAGCAATGGGGCTTACCTTTATCTAGTGAGAAAACCAAGGTGCTACGCATAGGGAAAGTTGTTAGCTCATCCTCGTATTCGATTCAAGGGGTACGTTTAGATGATGTTGAAGAAATTAGGGACCTAGGTTTCCTTATTCCTAGCGACCTTACTTTTGATGCGCACTGTTCTCAAATCGCAGCTAAAGCAACTGTGGTTTTACAAAACATGTTCAGGTCACTCCTAACCAGGGATTCCCTCGTATTATGCAAAGCATACAAGACTTACATTAGACCTCTGTTGGAGTACGGGACCGTGGTTTACAATCCGAATAAAAGAAAAAGTATAAATGCTCTAGAAAGGGTACAAAATAACTTTACTAGAAAGGTTTTCGTGCGAACGGTGGGATACAAGTACGGACAAATACCTGCCAGATAATTATGGGATCATGCTCTCTTCGATTATGTCAGTAGTGATGACTTTGAGACATTTGGATCAAATCTCATGGTCAAATTGGAGGGGCCAACACGAAGACAATACAAGTACTGAAAGTCTAAATTTCAACTTTAAGAATAAGAGGATGTGAAGTTATCATTGTCCCCAGA